TCCCTACATTGAAAAACAGTTTTCTTGGAAATAAAATGTCTAGACAGACTTTGAAACTGAAAAACTGCTGCTTTGCCTCAGGTATTTTTGCTTGAAAACTGATACTTTCATGAATACTTGATTTTTAAAACTTACACAAGATGAATGCCATTTCATTTGGTGTTTTAGTCCTTATGAATAGTGATACAGTTTTGGTTTTCAGAGAAAGTAAAACTTTTTCCCATTGGTGACAATTAATTTTTATGACTTTAATCTCTACTTTTGTAGTTTGTTTAAATCTCTTATCGAATTCAGTGGCAGAATTCCAAAAGTGTTTCCCTTCCCAATTTTTTGTCCAATGGGAAAAAGTCTTCAGTCTGCTAAAGGCCTTACATATTCATTATTCAAGAACAAATGTGTTGCAGGAATTTTAGCAATGCCTGCTTATCAGTGTTTTTTTAAGGATAGTCTAGTGAGTTAAGATGGCCAGATGCTTTAGGTTAATAGTGATAAGTGCTTTTGGAGTCTAATTAAGAGGGCATCTAATTTGTGAATTTGAATCAGGGTTCTGTTATGATTTTGATGTATAATTGTGGACATATAATTTGGAGCTTCCCTGATTCATTAGCTACAAAGTTATGTCAATAAAAGAAATTTGTGAATGAGAAGTTAAATGAGAATATCGTTTAATTTGTAACTATTTTGAAAATAATCACTATTTACTTGATGGATGATGTTGATAGAAACAATAACAATATACTGAAGGCTTCCTCTGCTCCAAACCCTAGGCTAATAAGTCCTTGTTACGCTATTTCATTTCATCTCATCTCTCTCTCTCTTTTTTTTTTTTTATGGTAAAGGAAAAACTGTTTTGCTGAAATCAGCAGCTAGTAAATTGTAGAACTAAGATACAGATCTTAGGCTGTCTGACTCCCAGCCCAGATTCTGAACCATTCATTTCTACAGCTTCTTAACTAGCACATTCTGTGCTATGAGCTGGGCTACCTTACATAGTATTTTCAATGGGTTAACCCTCACCATGACTCCATGAAGGAGGTAGACATGCATTAGCTCCATTTTACAGGCAAGGAAACTGACATTTAGGAAGAATAAAGGACTATTCCAAGGTTTCACAATTGGCACAACTGTTATCCTTCTGTATATAATAAATAAAGGGTTTTCTTATGTGCTCTTTTAGTGCCATTTTGGGACTGTGAAATTGTTTGAAATTTCATTAGAAATCTCTATCATATGATTTCAACCTACTGTGTGTATCACGTGGTCCTGTGATGACTCACAGAATCCCTTAAATGACTTTCTTCTCTCCCTTCAAACAAAATTTCAGCAGTACCACTGCAAAATACCAGTGTAAAATGTCATAAAACAGGTTATTCCAGCCAAGAATCTGAGGTGAGGACAGCTTTAAGTTGTTCAGTCATATTAAAATCAAATCAGTGATGGGAATGCTGGCAGCTATTCAGAAAAGATGTCTCTGTAGCACAATAAAAATTTTATGCCCTGGTAAGGATGATCAAGAACATGGGCATATTCATATCTGTGGCCACAAAAAATAAAAAGGGACCAATTTCGTCACAGTGTCAGTGCCAAGCAGCACATGACTCTCCTTGGAATAAATATGCATTTCTTAACTTTTCCAAGGATTTTTTTTTTTTTTTTTTTTTTTGCAGTACACAGGCCTCTCACTGTTGTGGCCTCTCGCGTTGCAGAGCACAGGCTCCGGACGCGCAGGCTCAGCGGCCATGGCTCATGGGCCTAGCCGCTTCGCGGCATGTGGGATCTTCCCAGACCAGGGCACGAAGCTGTGTCCCCTGCATCGGCAGGTGGACTGTCAACCACTGCGCCACCAGGGAAGCCCTCCAAGGATTTTTAATTCAGTTTATTTATCATAAACATTTTCCCAGTTTAGACATATAAAATTTATTAAATAGTTGTAATTTTAAATATTCAAGGACTTGAAGCATTTGTGACATTGTTACTTAAATGGGTACAAGAAATTTTATTGCAAGAAACTGTATACTGATCCCTGTAGCTGACTTGTCATGTTTAGTATTTTCCTTTTTGCCTGCACAAGAAGAATAGCTTCTGTAATGTGAATTTAAATGATAGATCAATCTAATAAATGTGGTTGGCTTAGCAAGTGATAAGCATAACTAATTCAATTTAAATGCCTCTTATATAAAAATAATGAACCAATACATTAAAGATTAAAAATGTTAATGCAATTAGCAAAAAATAGTATTCAACGAAGAAGCATGTATCAGTTTTAAGATGGATAATATATCATTCAGTGATAAGATAAGGACCCAAATTCAGGTCCAGGTTGATGGATTTATTAATAAAATGCTTTATTTGAAGAAACTTTGATAAAACGATATATAATATGTGGGCGAAAGATAACCCACGTCCTCAGGAGCTATGGAGGAAACCAAGGCTTGAGTGACTTAACAGGGATTCTTAGAACATAATATCACCTGACTCCTTGTGGGAGGGAGTGTAGCAGGGGGTGGGTGGGCACAGTGAGCATGGAACCTGAATGGAAATGGATTTGCCTGAATTTGCTTTTCGATAAAGTGAGCATTTGTGGTTTGGGGACACTGACATCAAGGGTATGCAATAGTGTCAGTATTTGCCTTCATGTCACCGTGGCGTGTTGGCGCTCTGCTCATTTGCAGGTGGATGGCAAGCATTCCAATGAGGCAGCCTTGATCCTCCACAGGAAGGGATTTGATTGCTGCTTCTCTAGCAGAGACACGGGGCTGCTTTGTTCCACTACCCAGGGAAAGGTGAGCTGAAAGCTTATTTTTGCTTGTTGAGTTAGTGTGCTTTGAAATCCTTACTTTCTGCAGATAATCTTGACAATGAGATGTTTCATTGCCTCTTCGCTGACTCATTCCCCTCAACTTCAAATTAGTTCAAGTTTCCCCATCTTAAGAAAGCCCTTTCTCAACGTTCAGTCTCTTCTCCTTGTCACCATCAAAATGCATAGGCAAATGTACACGTTTGAAGGCAGTGCCCTCATCGATTCTTAGGCCTTCCATCTGCAACCTGCATAGCACCTTCTTCCTGCCCACCCTGCCATTTCCACCTCTCTCGGACATGCTCATGTATGATCCAGTTCAGCGGTGGCAAACCCAAGTCCTACAGGGGCCAAGGCAAGTTTTACAGTAACTAAAGTGGGGTGCTGGCTTGCAGTATGGGAAGAGAGGGAGCAATGAGACTGTGGCCAGCGGGATAACTCAACCAAAGACCCCAGGGCAGCTGTACTTAGCTCCAGTCAGTTGTTTCCCCAGGGGAAAGATGCAGGGCTAGATCTTCTGATTAAGCAAGATTTGCATATGAGTCCACACTCTGCAGACCAAACACATCCTCAGGCTGACCACTGCTTGGTGGCTGTGCATTTCTGACTTCCAGTCGGTCTTGCTGACAGTTCTCATCAGAGAACTCTCCTTGGAAGCAAATGAACCTCCAGTCTTATGCCTGTGGCTCTGAGCTAGCTGTAAGTGCAAGAAGATGCTTGGGCTGATTCTAGCACACTGGCGGGTCTCCTCCACCAAGTCAGCTCAGGGGACCCAGCTCTTCTCCAAAACCTAATAGACATAGTGTAGACCAGACTCAAGTGATTCAGTTCCAGCCCTACAAAATTAGTATGTGCATAGCACCCAAAAACAAAAGAAAATATAGTAGGGGGGACCTAAATCTGCTAGATAGATAAGCTTCTGCATTTCTGTTGCCTCACCCTGTATGTGGTTGGTGCTAAGAAAGCACTTATATCTTTGTTTCATTACATTTGCACTCTCCCTTATTAGTGATGATCTGAGAATACTTGCTTGTGAACATTATTTGTACTCAAACATTAAGGCATTGAGTCTTTAGGGGGTTATACGATCCAGAGAGACATATTAGAATAACCTGCCAGAAGTGGGGAAAGTATTTTCCAAACAACCTCCCCACCCTATAAATTGGACTCACTGACATGATGGGCCTTCCTTGTGGCAGCCTGTGTCCTATCTCCCGGCTCTTTGGGCACAGGGAAGATGGTGGATGAGCACCACTGTTAGGGGTAAGTATTGACTGAAAGAGGATATAGATGTGTTTAAAGCTTCTTGGCCTATAGATGTCCTTTCTCTTATTGAAAAAATGGCCCCTGCACCTGATGTGTTCTCAAGCAACAGAAAAGGAATCCAGAGCCCATCATCCTCCCGTTACAGTTTCCTGTGTCTCCCTCCAGGGTTAGTCTCCACATTCAAGTATGTAGAGGTGGATTTAATCTCCCTCCCCTTCCCCTTCTTTTTCATTAAAAGGGAGCGCTTCAAACATACTTTTCACTTTTTCTCCCACTGAATATATAGATGCGCTACTAATCTTTCTTCAAAGTTGTTCTAAACGTGCAATTTTTTTATCATTTACTTTTTAGATATTGGTACAGAAACTTTTTAACAAGTTTACTGTTGTAAGTCTCATACCTTCATCATTATCCTTGATGCATTCACCTCCAGACGCCCGAAATATAAGTGAGATCAACTTGAGTCCCATGGAAATCAGCACATTCCGAATCCAGTTGAGGTGAACCTGGCTTTCAGATTTGGATTGGGAAGCATTGGCTTTTATACACTTCTTGGTTTGACGTGCAATAAAGAAGCACATTATTTTAGCTTCTGGCTACTGTGAGGACATGAAATCTGTGATTTTTTTTTTTTAAACCAGTACAGTAAGAGAGGAAAAAAAAAAAAAGCCATGCTATAAACTTTTTTTTTTCTTAAGTTCCTTCCATGAACTACCATCATCAGTATGAATTGATGCAACAAACAAAGAAATGTCTAAAGACAACCTCTCAACAGATTGTATCTCAGGTTAAATGTTAACTAATTATATCTGTGTTGGGGGTTGTGAAGAGATTGTTGTAAGTATTCATGTTGCTGACCCTTTGTTAGTCTTACAAAAATACCCATTTTTACCAAAATGGAATAAAAAGCTGGTGGGTAATAGCTAATGGCCAAAATGGTTGCAATCATTCATACATGTTAGAAAAATTTTATGTGTTGAAATATGTGGAAAAGTGCAATCCGTCAACCCTTATACATAGTTGACTATGTGTTTTTCTACCACTTGTACCACTTGACCCCTCCCCTCCTACCCTTTGTAAGTATTTCCAGAAATACCAGATTTTGAATCATTCAGTAGTAAACAAAGAGGCATATTTTCATTACTTGACAGTGTGGGATAGGTGCAATTTATTCATTGTCACTAAAATAGACGAAGCATTTCCATAGGTACCATGACCTCTTTTAGGTACCACAAGGTGTCTTTTTACGCAGCTCATTTGAATACAGATGTTCTGAGAAGGGGTTTTCTATTTTAAAATTATCGTATCAGAATAAATGTGCCTTATTTTTTTATAAGTCTTGTTAAATCTTTTGGTGTCCATATTATGGTTGGGGGAAGGGAAGAGGCTGGGGGGAGGTGGAGGGGTGGGTACTTTCTATGACACATAAATTGTATAATTTTTGCCTGACAATGATGGCCACGTTCTGATCTGTTTCATTAAATTTGTGGTGATGTTACTTTAAACATTTTGACTGTTTGAATGTACTGAGATGTCAGAAAACAAAAGAAGGAAGAAAAATATTGTTAAGTAAAATATGCTGCTGCCAAGGAGACTGCAACGTGAAGCAAGGATTTTGTAACATGCAGAATCCACATGCTGTTTCCATTTCACAGGAGTTCACCATTTTGAAGAGAGAATGCTTTAAAATAGACCCTGTTTTGAAACCCACTTACATGTAGCTCATCATAATTTATCTTATTAAAGAGTATGTTTGTTCAGTGAATTCCAGACTTTTGTACGTGCTAACCTCAAAGTGAAGCTCTAAACCTATGTGCCATTCCAGTACTTGTGATAAAATTTATTTGGGATCATCGTGAACTTGACATTAAAATAGAAGCAACATTAGCAACATTTAGAAGATTCAGTTTTAGCATAGAAAGGATTCTTGACTCTATGCACTTCTGAAAATTCTCTTTGTGTTAACTAATAGATTTAGTATTATCTGACTTTAAACTTCCATTATACCTCCTGCCATTCCAACATCTTCATACAGAAATAAAACATAATTTCTGTGTTATCATGTAGTCTGATTATCATCTGGATTTTCAGTCAAGATGCAGCTCCTAAGATTATTGTTATGTTAAATTCATAAACTTCTTTCTCCTTTAATTATTAAGGAAACAGTACTAGTGTTGATCGAGATATTACAAGGGAGTAATTTCATGCAATAAACATGTACTGTAAGTTTCCTTCCTCATTTTGGGGGGATAAACAACTTAAAAAAAAAAAGCTTCCTTTTTGTGGACATCTACAGATGTTAGGATTACCAGAAGCAAATCCCAGGAATGAGATCAGTATTTTCGTTGCGTCTTAAATGTAGAACCTTCCTATAGGAGTTCACTGTGTTCTGTGGTTTAAGTGGGTGTGCTTAATTGTCCTGGAATTTCTGATCAATTGAAATAAAAAAATCTTGATGCAATAATAGTGGTTTTGCCACTCCCGGTTGTTTGAGATGGATCTGTCCCGTGTTTGGTTGGGGTCTTATTCAGTGTGTGTTGCCACCAGCTGCTCACAGATAAAGCAGAAATTCTCTTTTACCAGCAAGTTTCTGCTTTTTATTTTTAGAATAAATCATCAGGGAAATGAAGAGAGGATGCCTTTGCTTTGGTTTGTGGTCAAGAACTGATTAAATAATTTAGTGACTCCAGCACACACTAAAAATCATACACTTCAGTTGTGATCTCAGTGGCATATTTGTTTGCTTATGTTTTATTACATTTATTATTGCAGATGTTCAGTAGTTCATTACTTTCTCTTATATTTTTTTTCTGAAAATTTAATTTGTGGTTATAACTACAGTGTTTGAGAACTCAGCATCCTTGTTTTCTACAAATACTGATTAAAACAAAATGCTGTAAAATGTAAAACATTGTAATTGCCTTCCCATGTCTTTGTTGTATTTGTGCTGAAATGTTTTCACATTCCTTTTTCTGGAAGAAATTCTTTGCTTTCATTTTGATTATGTTGCTTACCTTGAAATCAATAGGTTTTGATATTTTCTCTTGGAAGATTTTATATCTTTTTGGGAATATGTAATATATCTAATAAAAGATAAATATTATCATGTACATGGTCCTCTAGAGTAGTTCTTAAGCCCTATTTTGTAAACAAGATATATTAAAGCATTTTGAGGGATAGGGTGGAGGTGTGAGGGCTTGTTCTTTCTTCCATTATGAATGAATCGCTCCTTCTTTGGTCCATTCTAGTTAGAAAAGATAGTTTTAGCAAAGCAAGTAGCAGGCTTGGGTGATAGTTTCACGTCTGGGTTTGGGGTCAGCTTTGAGGTTGGAGTCCAGGAACCTTCCCAGGAACGCCGTGCCTGTGGGACCTTCTGAACCAATGAGCAGGGCGAGATTGTGGTCACATTCCACGTATTCCAGGATAAGATGAGAGTAAGGCAAGATGTGAAATGAAGAAGGTCCATGTGAGCTGATCCGCAAGGTAAGGTGTGTTGGAAGAGTGGAATCTGGAGACACTCTGCCAGCCTGCTGGCCCAGACCAGCACACAACTTAGTGGTTTGGGGGGAATTCCTTCAAAGCCAGGAGGTGGGGGAGGGGGAGGAATAAATATCCCTGAGGTACATATGGGTTACCCAGGCAAACGATACATGCTGACTAGGAAGTTGGGACTTGTTTTGGATGACTTAAAAAGTAAAGAGATTAATCAATTTGTAATACGTATATACTGAGCTATAAAACCCTAGAGAAATATTAATAAAAAGACTAATTTCATCATCAGATAGTGAAAATTATTTTGGGCTGCATATTTGATTGTCAGCATGTCAGAATCATTTGAATGTTAAAACTGGTAAAGAAAAATTTCGTTTAGGTGGGCATATGTTCACATTCCTCCTACAAAGCTGTGATGTGAAACCAACTAAGGGTGATTGTGGCTGTGAATGGTTGAAGTAGTGGCCCAAAGGGGAGTGGGAGGAGGAGCCTATGACACATGCTGCCGTATAGCCTATATAGAGAATGCCTGAAGAGAGGTTGTAATGGACGAGCCTCCTTCAATGTACCCTGGCTTAAGCAAAAACAGGTGATTTATTGTCCCCAGTACCTAAGGTTCAAGGGTAGACAGCACTCCAAATACAGCTGTAGCCAACTATAAGGTGCTGTTATCCAGGATATGTGTTTTTCCTCTTGTTTTGCTTTCCTCTGAGTTATTCTTCTCAGGCAAGGACTGCACATTTGATGGCAAGTTGGCTACCAGCAGACTCAGACTTGCATCCCAGCCGGCTTAGTGACTCCATTGGTAAGAGCACCTTCATCCACATTTTCAGCAAATGTCCTGGGATTAACAGTACTGGCTGTCATCTTGCTCATATCCTAATGATGGTGGCTAAGGGTAGAGTTAGGTTCAACTGAACCCCATGGGCAAAAAGCGTGAGAAATAGTCCTCTCATCACCCCCCACCTCATAGAAAATGGGATTCTACAACCAGAGGAAAGGGAGTTGGATACTGGGGTACTATGGATTCTAGGCAGGCAAAATATAGTACGAAATATTGCTGAGAAAAAACAAATGTGCAAATTTAAAGGAAGTAGAAAGCACACTTAGCTTCCATTTCAGGAAAGGTTTCATAGAAGAGGTAGGCTTGAAATATCAATAGTTCCTAAAAGATGCATTTGACTTTAGGAGGTAGAACAATATGCGTGTACTCTGTAAAAGACCAGAATGAGGAAAGACATGGTAACAGCAAGCCTGAAGAACTAGAAATAGTTCCTTCTGTCTGGAGCAGCACCGTCCAATAAAACTTTTCTGTGATAATGGTGAGGTTCTTTCTACATGTGCTGTCCAGTATGGTAGCCACTAGCCACATGTGGCTCTTGAACATTTGAAATGTGGTGTGTGCAACTAAGGAACTGAATAGCTTATTCTAGTTGAATAGCAACATGTGTCTACAGTATTAACACTGGTCTGGAGCACATGGTAGCTATAAGATACTAATAGGAAATACAACTTAAAATGCAAGTTAAGGGCACATTCTGCTACAATCCTGCTACTCAGTGTGGTCCTCAGACCAGAAGCATTGGCATTACCTGGAAACTTGTTAGTTCCCCACCCCCAGACCTGCTGAATCATAATCTACATTTTAGCAAGACCCCCCAGAGGATTAATGTGCATACTAAAGCTCCAGCCTAGAACATTTTTCAAGAAACAAAGTCTCTCACGCCTGTTAGAATGGCTGTTATCAAAAAGTCAGTTATCAGAAAGGCAAGAAATAAGAAGCATTGGCAAGCATGTGGAGAAAAGGGAACCTTCATACACTGTTATGATTATTTTTCTTCAGGGCTTTGCACTTGTTCCCTCTGCTTCAGTGATTCTACTTTCATACTTTCCTGGGGCAGGCTCCTTGTTATTCTGCTTTGGTTCATTGTCACCTTCTCAAGAATCTCCCTGGACCAGCCAATTTATACAAGTCCTACCTCCACATCTTCACTAAGTATTTTATTACCCTGCTTCTTTTCTTCCTAACAGAGCCAGGTGTGAAATCATGTCAGTTTGCCTTCCTCACTGATATAAGTGCTGCTGAAGGCAGGAACCCCAGCTGTTTGTTCAGCCTTGTTATCCCCACACTTGCAACATCAGACATTCAGAAAATTGGT